TTTCATTGGCTAAGCCATTGTAAGTATCCTCACAAGTTACGCGGATGACACGGAGGTGATGATCAATATCAAACCTTTAAATCCATAAATGAGAATTGAAATTTCGGAAGGAAAGAAAAGAATAAAAAGAATTAGAATTAAAAGCGAATAATTAATTTAATAACGACAAGGATGAAGAAATTTAGTTTAGAGAATCAGGTATTACACTTTTAATATTAATTTTGTCAAATTTTCTTAATTACACAGCGGCCCTTTCAGTAAATGTCCTTCAGTTTTAGTTTCCACCGCCCCATCTCTGTCCCTCACCCCTTTTTCTTTTCTTTTCCTCTCCCTCTCTCTTCTTCTGATCTTTAAGATTAGATCGTCTATATTGTGTGTGTATGTCACCACAAAATGTATCCTTTCTGGTTACATCTTTAATGTATTAGACATTCGACAACATGCATATTTCTCTCACTTAAACCGTCTTCAACTCACCTCTCTAAAACTTCTCTCTGTTAAGTTTTAATCTCCCACCTTCTCTCGTCTGTTACCCCTCTCTTTAGCTCTAACATTCGTCCCACACTCTCATACTTACACTCTCTTAATTTCCATTTTTATTTCCGGGGTTGTTTTTTCTGTTTTCTTTTTGAATTTGTAGGTCTGATGAATTGGATCGTATTTACGATTCCAATGGAATAAATTATGACCATGGAATATTAGTGTTTAAGCCTTTTTATTATATCCTTATTCTGTCCTGGACATTGAGTTCTACCGGGATTCTATCCTCTTGGAATTTTTTATTCAAAAATATATATATATAAATATATATGTATATGTATGCATCTATGTATTATATATTTATATATTTTGCATATGTATCTAAATATGTACCACTAATATTATATATATATATATATATATATATATATATATATATATATATATATATAACATAATGTTAATTTATATATCTATTGGTCACACAACCTGTTATCGCTGTTTAGTGAAGAGATACTCAGATGTTATGGCAACAGGAGGCATTACTGGACGCTACTCGAAGCAAAAATGGCGTTTCCATAAAATGTAACATTTCTTTAATGAAAAGTGAAACCAAGTTTTTAATACATTTCTTTTGATTTCTATTTCGTGTTCTCTTAGCACACCTAAATTCCATCTCTCTGGTGCAATCAAAAATTATTGAAGGAAAAACATTATGATGGTGATGAACAAGTGTAAATAGCCGTAAATAATATAATAAAATAAAATATATATATAATATATGTAATATATATACTATATAATAATAAATAATAATTTATAATATAATATATATACAATATATATAATATATAATATAATATATAATAATATAACATAAATATATATATATATATATATATATATATATATAATTACAATGAATCATTCATACAAAAAATAGATTAGTAAAGTTAATGATATAAAATGATAAAAATTTTAAACGATGAGAAAATTTTAACGTTGCATTAACTTACAAATCACTCGATGAATGTTATGATCCTTGTTTGATAATATATATATATATATATATATATATATATATATATATATATATATATATATATATATATATATATATGTATGTATGTATGTATGTATAATTATTTATTTAAAAAATTATAAAAATATATATGTATAAAAAATTATAAAAATATATATGTATAAAAATATATATGTATAAAAAAATTATATATATATATATATATAAAATAAATTGCATTACTTTTTGACTCACCCTCGCAATGTCAAATGCAGGATAACAAATCGCGACTTGTAAGTGAATATAACAAAGATCAGTTTTTGTTTTTTTCAGAAAAAATATGATAATCCAATAGTGAAAATGCTTTAAGCATTTAAGCATTGAAAAACTGAATGAATCGCCTCTAGTTTTTGTTTTTCTTTTTTTTATTATTATTATTATTATTGCAGAAAGTGTACGGTTCGTGAAGCGAACCATTTCCGATTTTGTTGGTTAGCTTGAGGATTTCTAGCACAATCAGACTCTTGGGGCGATTCTGCTTTGTGTTAGAAACTTTTGTGTTATTTTTTACGCCTTTTATTCGTTATCTCTTGGCGAATGTAAATCATCCTTTTTTTCTTTTTTTTTTTGTTAATCGGTATTAGCCCATGCAAGGCAGCAAAGCCACTAAGACACAACAAGTTACAAGGTGTGGAAGAATTAGGAACAGAAACATTTATAATGAGCGGGAAGAGGAAAGAGTAACCAGAAGAACAGTGACTAGTGATTGACATTGCATTTAAATGTTTGCAAATTAAAGTTGGATTCGAAAGCATGTAGCCGGAAGGGAGTTCCACGAGCCAGAAGTGTGGGAAAAGAAACTGTTAGCCTAGAAGTTACGGTTACATCTAGCTAGCTCAACTGTAAATTGATGAGATCTTGACGCCAGTTGAGTACCGCGCTTAAATTAAAAAAAAAAACGTCTAAGTATCATAGCGAAGAAAACATGAAAGTATTTATTATAAAAAAAAAACACACAGAAGCAACTTTCCGGTGTCTGAAAAGTGATTGAGACCGAGCTGCCAGATCAGGACCAATAATATTGCTGATTCTCCTTTGGATCTTATCAAGGAGCTCAAGTTAAATAGTAGGGACACCGGACCATATGTGGCCGCAATCTTAAAAGCATGGACTAATCCAAAAGAGAAAAAAACTGACTAATCGATAGCAAAATTGTCCTGGCAATTTTTAACAAGGCTGAGATTAATTTATTCCCTTGATTCATACAAACTTAGGCATAACTTAAGTCAGACAAAAACACCACACTAAAAGAGTGCTCAGTAAGAATCAAATAATCTTCAAATAGCTCTGTTTCAGCCCGCATCTTTTTATTATTATTTTATTGTGAACCCAATGGATTTTACTCTCGCTACAAAACAAATGATCGACAAGTCAAGCTTGATATTTACCAAGCTGAGTGCTATAGAAATGGAAGCAAATAATGATTTGTGCTGAATAGTGAAGTTAATATCAGAAAATTATTAGGTTGGTGCAAAAATAATGACGTAATAATGTCGTTTTTGACGTTAAAAATACGTCAAAAAAACGACATTATTACGTCATTATTTTTGCACCAACCTAATATTAATATTGCTGACTTTATACTCCTACCATCTTACTTTACACACAACCTCAAAGTCAAATGGAAGTCAGTAACTCTCTTGGATTATTTATTTTAGCAGCAGAATTATTATCAGTGAACTGCTAATATTGATGATTTTATACGTCTACCAATTTATGTACCATGCACCTCCAAAATCAAATGGAAGCCAGGATTTCTACCATTTGTTGATAGCAGTGATATTAGGTTGGTGCAAAAAATAATGACGTAACAATGTCGTTTTTTGACGTATTTTTTAACGTCAAAAAACGCCATTATTGCGTCATTATTTTTGCACCAACCTAATATTATCAGGGAACTTCTCATATTGCTGATTTCTTACTCCTACAACCTTACGCAACACAAATTCAAAGTCAAATCATAACAAGGATATATACCGTTTTTGCGTATTATTCAGTCTTATGTTAAAACTTAAGCAAAGACAATAGTTAGTACCAGGATTCCACGCATAGGGTATTCTAACCCCCCCCTGTCAGTTCGGGTCGTAAAAGTTCTGAACAGTACGGTTATTTTTGCCATTTTTGTCCAGCCTACGTATTCGGTAACAATAAAGGGCCCATCCCAGGGAAGCAAATCAGGATTACGCAGTAGACATGGTAAAACATCCTAACCAAATCCCTAGAACAGCTTTGGGCACCTAATGGTTAGCAAGCTTGTCTCGCTAGAACATTTACATCTGAGTAGTGAGTTCAATCCTCACTGGGTGCCCCTTACTTTCGGCCTTGTGCCACATACAAGCTACGCTTGGAAAAATCACTATCCCTGAAACACCTCTTTTTTTTTTTAGCAGGTAGGGTGTCTGTGGGGTGCCGTTGTGTATCAGAATGATACCCCTGTTCAAATGTATTGGTCTTTTTCAATAATAATGAAAAAAACCTCATTCGATCTGTCTACTGTTTCGAAGTATCTGACTGTATTTGCGTTTGAACTGATAGACTAAACTAATCTTAGTAAACAAGGATACTTACCGTACCGAGTGCTTTAAGGCTACACATTTTGCCGTTTTCAAAGACGAAATATTTTGACTGTTAAATAAGAAATAGTTTGTTACATGTATTTATATATATAATGTTTTCATTTTTCAAAACACGGCCAGGATATTGTGTCCATGTTCATAGTTGATATTACTGAGTGTTGGTTTTTTTGTATTTATTAAAAAGGCTTCCATCATTTTTAGGCTTTTTCTTTCTTTTTCTTTTTTTTGCATGTAGAGGATGCTATTGCATTTGTGTTGCCAACAAGTATGTTACGAATAATGTCCGGTAGACCTCCATGAATATTTAAATGAGATCTAATTGCGCTATGATCAGAAAGGTGCAAAATGAAATGCCCATTAAGGAATTGTATTCCTGATCAATCAAAATTCGTAAATAATTATATAGGCCACACTACATACAACATGTTTGACACGAAGACTGACTCTACACCTTATATATATATATATATATATATATATATATATATCAGTGAGTTATGTGCCATGCGTGCTACACTGACGAGGCAATTTTTTCCCCGCAGTAGGTTGCCATTTCTTTCTGCGGTAGACCAGTTGCCATCCAAGGCTATAGAACCCCGGTCTGTCCTGCTATTTATGCATAGCTGATTCATACCTTTCCCAAACTTATTAGAACGTAAGAGAATGTAATGAATTCGACTGGAATTCGAACTCGGCTCTCCGATTCCTCAATCTGAGCCGCTATCCATTATTCTACCATGCCTCCATACCTACTATAGCATTATGGGAAAGAAGCTAGTTTAATTATCCAGTTCGCTAGAGCTGTGAGCTCGATCCTCGCTAAGAGCACTATGAGTGTTGCTTTGAAGGAATATATCCATACGTCATAAAAGGATATAAGCGGTCAGATAGATAGATAGATAGATATGATCAGAATTAGATAGATAGATAGATAGATAGATAGATAGATAGATAGATAGATAGATATGATCAGAATAGATAGATAGATAGATAGATAGATAGATAGATAGATAGATAGATAGATAGATAGATAGATAGATAGATATTAAACTAGAATAGCATAAATAATTTGTCAAAATATAAAAGAGAAAGTAGAAAACATGCCACCAATCATCATTATTAAACTAAAATAAGTAGGAATACAGATATAAACAAACACATAGATATGTGAAAATAAAGAAAGAGAGAAAGTGGGTGAACAGAGAAAGCTAGGGAGGGGTAGATGAACATAGGTATGAACGGAGAAAGTCATATATGGAGGTGAGCAGATAGATAGATAGATAGATAGATAGATAGATAGATAGATAGATAGATAGATAGATATGAAGAGACTCGGATGGATAGATATGAAGAGAAATAGATAGATATGAAGAGAATTAGATAGATAGATAGATAGATAGATAGATAGATAGATAGATAGATAGACATTGTGAGAGAGAGAGATGAAAAGGTAGCTAGAGAGAGAAAAGAACATAGATGCGTACAGATAGATAGATAGATAGATAGATAGATAGATAGATAGATAGATAGATAGATAGATAGATGAACATCCTGAAATAGAGACAATGACAGAGAGAGATGAACAGAAATAAATAGATACGAAGTGAATGAGGTATATACATAGAAAGAATTCTTAGATAGATACATAAATACATACATATGCACACACGGAGATAGAAAATGAGAGATAAACAGACATAGATATATAGATAGACAAATAGAGATGAGTAAACTGAAAGAGAGAAAGATATGAACAGGCTGAAAGAGAGAATAACAGAGATAGATAGATAGATAGATAGATAGATAGATAGATAGATAGATAGATAGATAGATATGAACAGAATTAGATAGATAGATAGATAGATAGATAGATAGATAGATATGAACAGAATTAGATAGATAGATAGATAGATAGATAGATAGATAGATAGATATGAACAGAATTTGATAGATAGATAGATAGATAGATAGATAGATAGATAGATATGAACAGATAGATTGATAATGATCACATAAAGAACGATAGAACGAAAGAAAGAACGAATATTTATAAGAAAGCTACGTGTGTTATAGAAAAAAAGCGAGAGAATGAATTCTAACCAGCAATGAACAGAGAACTGATATAAAGATACATTTGAAATGCAAAGTATTCATTTAAAAAAGCCAATTTTCTATTAATGATTGGATTGGATTCGATTGCAATCATTTCATCAAGGCAAATACATCACGTGGCTTATTTTTCCGCCTTTGGAAAAAAAAAGTAAGGATTAATTAACTTGATGTAAATAATCATGCATTTCGCCAATTTTAGGGTTTATTGAGGATCTATCATTTACCTTCACATATTGATATTAGTTTGTTCTTATTGACCCCTGCCAAGGTTGACAATGGGAGCAATAGCTGTTTTTTTTTTTCTTTTAAGTCTGATGGAAAAGTATTTTTTCTCAAGTTCTCTTTCACCCACTCAATACAAATTATGGTATGCCAATGATGGGTCGTTTTGCTAATATATCTTGTAGTGGAACAGAAAGCAAGTATTGATAGTTTCATGCCTTTTCCAAGGTGTGCACAAACAGCTTCAATTTTCCTGGTACCGTTTGTCGTAAGTGCTGACACGATTAAATCATTTCCGTTAATTACCCACCCGCGGCACGGTTGTTATTTTTTAATATAATTTTCTACACGCCATGATTATTTTCTTCCAGAAATCAAAAATTCTCAGAAGAATAAGTTGGTAAATCCCTACGACTATGATACGCTAATACTCTTGGGAAAGTTATGAATTCAATAACTCCCCCTCTATGGATTAAATGGTAATTGTAATGTAAATGGTAATGTTTGCCGTTTCCTTATAAGGAAACATACGGCATTCATAAATATTGGGACTCATATCTAGAAAATCATTGTTATTCTAAAAAAACTGGTTAATGAAATATTCACTTACAAAAAAAAAGAACTGTTACGATCTAAAGTATGTTTCGGTTTTATATAGCCCATAAAGGGTTGATAAGCCGTAAAAAATCAGTCCCATGAGCCTATTTCAAATAGCATTTAGGACAAAGTTATTTTGCACGTTTATTTTGCTTAGAACGTTTGCTTTCTGACCATAAGACCCGGGTATGAATTTAACCATGGTCGATTTGTCAACAAGGTGACCTCTTGATGTTATCTATCTGTGTACCTTTGAAAAGTAGCTGAAAATCATGCCACGAGTTGACCAAAGTCTTGTGAGTGACATTAGGTAGATGGAACCCATTGGATGCCGTTGATGGTTGGGCGAGCACGAAGTCACAGTCCTTCGTGGCCGAGGGTCTGAGCGTGCTGGTCTTGATCAGACTGTTGGTTTCACGTTCTCTCCAAGAAACTGTAACAAAGGTCCGCTCAGCATAGTTGCAGTATAAACAACAGGTGAGCTCATTGGGTGTTGAACAAACACAAATGTGCCTGAGCAACAACGTCTTCAGCAGGGATTGGCTAGCCGCCCTGGCAGACGGTCATTCTCGGATACCAGTGACCAGCTTTTTTCAACTACACCAGTGACATCTGTGTTCTTCGTCTAATTTGCGTTTTTTTTTTTTTTTTTTTTTTTTTTTTGTTTTTTGCGTGTCTTGCCACAAGTAGTTTACCGTCTTCTTTTTATATTTATTAAGTAAAGGCCTCATTCCTTGATTCCACCAGATCTGTAGTTCACAGCTAGGACCCGCCATGCCAGGAACACAATGGCAACTCATTGTCACATTCTTTTTGCTAAGGAGGAAGTTATCCATTGCTAAGGAGAGAGTTTCATTCATCCGGATAGCTACCTCTACAAAACTGTTACTTTGTACGACAGATTCCGGAGATGGTGTTTCCTCGACACTATAATCTTAATCTCTTCACGGCTAAGGTCAACCGTTATCTATCCTACATTGTTATACCGGAACGTACCTATTCTATTGTAAATAGACTCTCCCACAGATAATAAGTAGTAGTCGTAGCAGTCGCCAGTGAAGCTCAGTGAGTTGTGTGAGTCAGTTGATGTCGGACATTAAAGTATCAACCACCACAACTAGATTGCTGCGTCATTAACTATTATTTCAAGTTCCTAACGTTTTTGTACGTCGGACCTAAGTTAGGACCGACTTAGTGAAATACAAGCCTCCACTGTGAAAACTACTCTACAGCACACATATCCTCAGCATATCCACTTCTTATCTCCCTCCTTTACACCAACCTCATTCTATAAATCAAGCAAGTCTGATCGTGAGTTTAAGTTTTGGCGTTGGATTTAAAAGAATTAATGCAAAACATGTGTAGTTAGATGATAATGGTGATGAATAGTCATTTCCTTGAGGTTTCTATTACACAGCTAGATTGAGTTGTTGTTGTTTTTTACGGTTTATCAACCTTTTGCAGATTATTTAAAGCCATAATATACATTTTAGATTATAAGAAGTTTTTGGAGATTATAATGATTTTATTGATACTATCCTAATAATTAACCCATAGCTGGGGGGAAAGGTGGATTCTTACCTTTCTCGATGGTATTTGCGCGTAAGTGAATATAAGGAACCTAACTAGAATTGTAACTCGGCTCTCCGATTTCCAAAATCCGACCGTTATCCATTACACAAGTCGCAGATCTAAGCTTAGAGCACCTCGAATTCCCAAGCGGTCACCCATCACCCAGTCTCGGCGTTGCTTAACTTCGGTGATCGGACGAGAACCCGTGTTTCAACGTTACATAGCCGTAAGTCATTATACAGCAAGAGATTTTACTTTTCCTAGGAAAAGATATTAACGTGGAAACACTTGTGTGTCTGGTTGTAGTTATTGAAGACGCACTTGACGAACTTCTTTTTTTTTTTTTTTTTTGCAAACGTGGATCTTAAAAAAAGAGGAAGGTTTTTTCCCTTAACACCGCTTTTATTTGAACTACCTTCCCTCGTCGGCAATTTTTATTGTTTTAAATTAGAATGATTCGCAGCGTAATAAAATCTAAACATATTATGAAAGTGAATTAGATTGCTTATTGACAGATATAATTTTAATTTGTAACATTCCAAAAACTAATACAGTTGTATTAAAACTAATGAAATGTAATATTTATCATTTGCCAATTTATAAAGAAATTAATATGAAAACAATTTTCATTCAAAAATATCTACTAAATTATTAAATTATGTGATAAAGAAGTTTTTATTATTCACCATTTTATAAAGTTCGAATCACTTTGCAATTAAACAATGCTTGACAAGCATTTCGAAACAATATACAGGATGTTGCAGCAAAATCTGACACTTGACAAAAAGAAACGAAATAGGAATCTCTGTCTATAAAAGGCAGTGTGTGTGTGTGTGTGTGTGTGTGTGTGTGTGTGTGTGTGTGTGTGTGTGTGTGTGTGTGTTTGTGTGTGTGTGTGTGTAACGAATGCAAGGCCGCAATTTTCGACGGATTTGCACCAAAATTTACAGGCACATGCTCCAAGTTAGTGGGAAGGCCAACACCGACTTTGCATTTCTCAACTCCCATCGATAGTAGAAATAATCGATTTTTTCATGCTTCTACGGCAGTTTTCATGTAGTTTGCGGCCATTTTCTACTGGCCAGAGTGAGAGCCAATAGCTGACTGCCACGAATACGCAGGAAGATTCTATTGGCCGGCGTGAGAGCCAACAGCTGACTGACACGAATGTTAACTAGCATGCTAGTATGCAAAAAAAAACTCGATAGCTGCATTCGTCACAAGTGGGAAAAATTTTAATCTGCATGGCACTTTACTCCAATTGGCTCTTGCTTAAACTCAACGTTGATTTTGATTCCGCAGAACTGGGTTATGTGTGAAAAAGTATTTGTTGTTAACATTCTTTTTTCATTCGGTTTTTTCAGTTACGAGTCCTTTTTTAAAGCTGGTCGTTTTGTGTTCATTTTGTTTAGTTCGTTTTTCGTAACAGATTTAATGTTTAGTATAGAGCTTAGAAAAAATTCGCAGTGTAAGATAGGCAAGAAGTAAGGCATGTAGCAACATCAGCACGGCAAAGGGCACTCCTTTAAAGGCAAAGAAGGGCAAAAATATTTAAAGTCAAGTGATAGCGATTGCTGTATGAGTCGTACAATTTTTTAATCAATCACGGGCAACGCCGGGCCATGCTGCTAGTTAAAAACAGAAGTTCTATATGAAGAGACTTGACAGTTTATTTAGCAACAGTTAGAGTTACATACTACATTATTTTTCAATGTAACCGCCGGCGGCGACCATCTCAAGACGGGCGCGAAATGAGTCACACGCTTTGGCGACCATGTCCTTGTCTATAGCGGCGAACGCCTCCACGATGTCAGCCTTCAGAGAGTCGACCGTGTTGTGGGCGTGCTTGTTGTTCTTGGCCTCGATCACACCCCAGAAGAAATAGTCAAGGGGGTTGCAGTAAGATGAGCAGGGCAGCCACAAATCCGGCGAGCAGTGGTGAGCAACATTGTTGAGCAGCCATGCCTGGGTTGTCTTGGCCTTGTGTGCAGCGAGGGGAACATCAGGTTTCCGTTCTTCTTTCAAAAGTGCCTGAGAGTCACTGCTGAGATCTACCAGGAGGTGCTGAGGAGCATGGTGAAGCCCTAGATGGACAAGATCGCCGACGGACGCCCCTTTGTCTTGCAGCAGGACTCCGCTCCTGCACACAAGACCAAGACGACCCAATCGCCTATTTCGTTTTCTTTTTGTCAAGTGTCTGATTTTGCTGCAACACCCTGTAATAAATACCTACTGTAAATAAACAATCTAATAACATTTATTATTTCTGTTGTCAATTCTCAAGAACAACGAAAATGTACAATGAAAATGTACATATATTTAGGTTTTATTACAATTCTAAACATCGCTTTTTTAAAATCAAGAAACATTGCCGAATATTGGAGGTAATTAAAATAATTTTTTTCTGTTTCTTAATAGTCTGCTTAGCTTTTAGAATTCATCTTTGGCTATCCAAATGCGCCTTCGGGTCTCAGCGTAACGCTTCCAGTCCTCTGTTAAAACTCTTCCTAGATATTTAATATAAAACAGGGTGGGGTAGCTGTTTCCCCGAGACGAGACTGTCTTTCGACATAGCCTCGTCTGGAGATCCACTCTGCCCGGAGACAGAGAGTTTGACCAGCACAGCTGGAGACTAATCTCCAACTACAGGATATCTACCAAACGCCCCACGAGGTCAGATGTCGCACGAAGCCGAATTTAATGTGGAGTATCTGAGCCCGTAGGCTCGACCAAAAATTCCCCATAGACCTCGTATAAAACGGGTTCGGGTAGCAGTTTCACGAGGCGAGACTCTGCTGTTCGACATAGCCTCGTCTGGAGATCCTCTTTGCCCAGAGGCAGAGAGTTTGCCAAACACAGCTGTAAATGAATCTCCAACTGCAGACCAACATACAGTATTTACTACTCTATCTATGTGAACGGGGACATAGTCATTATCGACGGTCAAAAAAGGCCATCTGTTGGGACAGCTCGTAACAGGGAAAAAAGATAAAATAAAAAGGCTAAAAGTTTCAAACCGTCTTATAGTATAAAAGCAATCACGGATAGGTTGCGGTTCAAAAGTTTCTCTGCACAGCTACAGACATCATCGGAACGATGGCCAGCCAAGTATATAGGATTTTCCACAGACACCAACTTCAATAACGCTTGACACCTATCAGTAGAAAATATGACCAAGAACTGTATTTCATTAGGTTACATCGATTATGGATTAGTATCATATAAAATTTAGAAGAATAATCGATTTCTTTGCCATCTGGCGTGCAATGAGAGACATATTTCTCAATGAACGGCGTGTAAAGCGATGATAGCCCCCTCCACTATTACGCATTATTAAATCCAGACGTGTATACAAGTTGAATGTTGGCTAGTATCCAAGTTTCAAATTGTACACATAATGGCTCTGTTATATGAGTAACGCTTGCATTAATTCTTGTACTTTGAACTTGGTAGAGCACAAACACAAATGCGGGCGGAGAAAATTACTACGGAAGACTATGTTGCGTCAATTCTCTAAGTTAAGAGATTTGGGACTGAAACACATACAATATACATAAGATTTGGGACTGAAACATACAACAAACTAAAACGCGAATACCTCAGACATGGGTTTAATTTAATCTGACACAAGGTCACTGAAATAAGAAAAATGGTGCAGATCGAAATCATTCTACTGGAAAATTGTCATACTAGGAAAGCTTGTTGACCATTACGTTGTGGTAATCAACTAAAGCGAATTGTTACATATTGTGTATCTCATTAGAACCTATTCAGTAAACCTCAAAGCGTAGACAGGGTAAGCTCTTGTCCAATCCGTTGATGAAATAGTTGATAGCTGAGTTCTGAAAGTTTTGAAAATTATTAAATCCTCAATGGATGAATGAACGATATAATTTCAATTCTGATCGTTTATCAAAAGTCTTCAAGCTGAAGAGAAGGAGACTCTAAACGAATCCGCAAAGTCTTTGGCACCGACTCGAAAATGAATAAAGAATCATTCGAAGATTATATTCTAGAGAAATCCATTCAATCCTGATTGATTTACCAATAGAGACTTAATATGAGAATATAAAAGAGTCTATATTACCCTTCTTTAATCTATCTATCTGTCTGTCTATCTATCTATCTATCTATCTATCATGTCTGTCTCCGTTTTTTCTTTCTTTGCCTTCCCACTTTCTTTATTCTCTTCTCTTCTCTTCTATTTTTGTATACCTATATATCTGCATAGCACTCTCTTTTTTTCACCATTATATATATGTATATATATATATATATATATATATATATATAAATATAAGAAATATATATATATATAAGAAATATGATATAAGCTCGATATATAAGACTAATAATGAGTAATTGAACGACTTAAAAAACAAAATGAGAAAATCTTACGTTACGCGTTTCATCTTTCGAAATCATATATAAATATATATATACATACACACACACACACACACACACACACACATATATATATATATATATATATATATATATATATATATATATGACAAAGTGGAAAAAGTTTCTTGACACGCGTTTCGTCACAAGAAACGTTTATCCACTTTGTTATCATTGCTCTTGATAATTAAAAAATACATCGTTATCCAATGTGTATATATATATGTATATATATGTGTGTGTGTGTGTGTGTGTGTGTGCGTGTGTGTAAAATGTGTATGTATATAAATATATATATGCAATTTATATATATATTATTTATATATTATTTATGCGCGATACTTATTGGAAAGTGCTCAATATCAGTGATAGAGTTAATATATTTAGTTGGAGTGATTTGAGTTTGTCCGACGATCGCAAATAGCGTGAAACGCAGGGTCACAAACTCATATCCAACTATATATATATATATATATATATATATAGAGAGAGAGAGAGAGAGATAGATAGATAGATAGATAGATAGATAGATAGATAGATAGATAGATAGTCATTCGATTACCCACCATATATATAGTTGGGTTTTCTTAGGTTCTCTATAGCTGAGGCGTTAAAGATCTAATGACCATTTTCTCCTAGGGAAATGTAGGTTTGACTAATGAGATTTCTCGAATATTCACCACAGTAGATGAAATAGATAAATATACTGTTTAATAAATAAAAATAGGCCATCAACTCAAATATGGGTATCCACTAAAAATAACTTTTAACCAATAATATATATATAAATATATATATAAGTATAAATATATATATATATATATATATATATATATATATATATACATACTTTAAAAATGCTTTCATTTTTTTTCTCTCTCTCTCTCTCTCTCTCTCTCTCTCTCTCTCAATATATATATATATATATATATATATATATATATGGTCTGATGATCGCACTGAAACTTTAAACTTGCTGCCACCATGTTCAGTTTATTTCTCTTTCCACATTATTTATATTCATAAAGGCGCTCTCTCTCTCTCTCTCTCTCTCTCTCTCTCTCTCTCTCTCCCAGATACTGTGCACGCTTGCAATAAATATAACAAATTTTACCAATAATATGTATATATGTATAAAGACAGGTCTACATTTGGCTTTATAGAGTCAATCAGAGGACTAAACTCACCGGGAAAGAAAAGTTTTCCTTTTGGCTTTATTGCTTTTACAGATATATTTTTATTTCTGTCTGAATTTTACACGCACACCTCCCCCCCCACACATATATATATATATATATATATATATATATATATATATATATATATATATATATATATGTGTGTGTGTGTGTGTGTGTGTGTGTAATATATACATATATATATGTTATTATTTTTTCAAAAATATATATATATATATATATATTTGTGAATGTAAAAAATTATTACATTATCTCTCTGTTCTTATTTTTTCACTCACTCTCTCTGTATCTCCCTCTCTATGCATACATACATATGTGTGTGTGTGTGTGTGTGTGTGTGTGTGTGTGTGTGTGTGTGTGTGTGTGTGTGTGTGTGTGTGTGATCTTCGTTACGTGTTGGGGAGGGGTAGAATTGAAATCATTTATTCAGCCTCTTCATTTCTTTCCCATTTTGGTATATCTTTGAAGAACCAATAAGTAAGCATTTGTCCGGTTCCATGTACCAAAGATAGAACACAAATAGACAATATTTTCTCAATACAATTTTCGTTTTATGCTACGAAATTCAATTTGTGCCTGCATCGACGAATTGCCTTTAAATCGAAAATTACCTGCCTGACAGAATTTTCCACTCTTGTAAACATCGATACGACTTACAAATTTTTTAACGGAAATCTTCTAAGTTTAAGTTGGTCTAGCAAAAGCCACACTACTCAAGGATCGAACAGACGATATTATCAAGTGATGAATTGTCATTAGATTCCAAAATTTCGCACTGTACCAGGCGCCTACACATCTATTACAGACCAGTTAGTAGTCTTAACAGATTGATTTCTGATATAGTTTTGTCTGTTAATTCATATTCTTGTATGTAAATATGTAAATGGCGGGACGATTATATTCATTCCATCGATCCACCCAACCGGTCGCGATTTTTGTCCGGCAAGATTTGAAATATTTTTTTTCTCGGGAGCACGATTATTTCGTTCCAGGAATTAAAAATCTTCCGCGTATTTTATAAAATAGTTGGTACCCCAAAATATTTAGAGTTGGTACCCCATAATATTAATTTCATTTTATATTATATTTTCATCAACGACCTTCCTGATGCCATCAGTTCTCAAGTCGGTGCCTATGCTGATGTCACGACTATTTAATCCAGGCTTAATAGTCAGCCTGATCGGTACAGTCAAATTGAGAGCTAATCTAAAAATGGGACAACAATCAGTTGTTAACATAAAGGAATGGCTTCTTCATTTTAACATCTCCAAAATGAATATCTTTTGATCATCTGAGAGGACACTATTTGCCTTCCATCAGCCCGGAAAGGGACATATTTGAACGAAGTATCTAAGTGGTTTTAGCTGCTATAACCAAGTAGAATATGGTAGCAGCAATCGACTGGTACGCGTCGTCGTCGCAGGTAAGAAGTGTATATCAATGGCGTAGTCTAATGGGCGTCGTTATAGACTTAGCTCTCAGACTAAGGCTCTTGACTCTTCTCTGACTCTCCTACGCGTCTGTCGATATTTATGATGGACACCAGCCAATCACATTCCAGTGAGGGGGAACACAGGTGTATGAATATTCCATTATATCATTATATATATATATATACATACAACTCTGAATCCAAAACTATATATATTAAAGTTACATTTCAAACTAGTCACAACACATTACATTGCATCTAGTATCTCACGTGGTATGACGTCATGGAACCGCATCATGAACTTACAATCTGCTTCTGCTATTGCGCGACCGTTATCGTTGCATATCTCAACATGAAACAATATCATCTATGATGTTGAATATCTTTGTTTAAATGTTCATATAACCTTTGGCAAGATGTCTCATGTGAGCCAAAAGCTTAGATCAAACACCAGCTTAATAAAAAAAAAAAGAATATCCAACAGTTGGATAATTTTTGTCTTTATTTTCATCCGAAATTAATACAAACATACAAAGTTTATTTAGAACGGCTCATGATCAAGCATAATAGACATTCATTGTCTGTCATATTTAACAATGTATGTTTATATATATATATATATATATATATATATATATATATATATATATATAATATTAGTGGTCAATATATATATATATATATATATATATATATATATATATATATATATATATATATATATATACATAAATTTCAAGAGGATAGAATCCAGGTAGAACTCAATGTCCAGTAAAGTAAGAAATATAATATAAAAAGGCTCAAACACTAATATTCCATGGTTATAATTTATTACATTGGAATCGTAATCACGATCAATTCATCAGACCTACGAATTCAATTTTGAATTTGTAGGTCTGATTACGATTCAATGTAATAAATTATAACCATGAAATATTAGTTTTTGAGCCTTTTACATTATATATATATATATATATATATATATATATATATATATATATATATATATATATATATATATATACGTTTTTTTCCTTTATGTGCAGACCCATAAAAATTTAATTTATGAATTTGGACCAATTAGAAATTAACAATAACTCTTCCTTATGACAATATGCTGTAATAAAAGTTAGACTACTGATAAAAGATTCGGGCTTACCGTAGATTTTATTAGGTACAATATCAGATGAACAACAATAATTAATTGTGAAATAGAAAATTAGACTAATAACATTTATGTGACGGATAGAAGATTCGTTCGAGCCGTACATTCTGTCTCTATTAAAATTGGCAATTAGTCAGAATATCATGGAAAATTGTAGAGAAAATGGAAAATTTGATACTCACAGGACAGATTTAAGGCAAGAATGACAGCGGAAAACAACACAACCGACCTAGCGAGCTTGTGCAAATGGATGGCAGAACAAGGTTTAAAAGAAATGGCAAGAGCTACAAAGGACTGGAAATTGTGGGAAATCAACGCCCTGAAAGGGACACAGCACATACAAGAAGAAGAAGAAGAAGAAGAAGAAGAAGAAGAAGAAGAAGAAGAAGAAGGAGGAGGAGGAGGAGAAGGAGGAGACAACAACAAAACAGAAAACTAAACAGAAAGAGGTGTAACGAGAATACCGGAAGCAAGCGGTATTATGGATTTTAATGGATATGACTGTGAGGTTATGAACTTTCAAAAGAAATAAATTCAACACATATGAAGAGATATACATACATATATATACATATATATATATATATATGTGTGTGTGTGTGTGTGTGTGTGTGAAAAATATATAGAAAATAGGAAAGAACTCGTTAGGTAAATAATCCAAAGTTCTTTAGTATTTTTGTTATTATTTTTAAAAAATAGTGCTCGATACAAAAGTAGAGCATAAATATAATTATTTCTTTAAAAATATGATTCCAACACACGCTTACATAAGAGTTCTCATGTTTCAAAACAAGAGCCGAAAACTTCAATATAATTATTTGAATTAAACTGAATTAAAGTACTAAGTTTGTTCCATCTTCAAGCGAATTTTTGGGGAATCCAAAAGTTCCCAAAAATTTCTGCTTGAATGAGAGCTATATATATATATATATATATATATATATATATATATATATATATTACGACAGGGTCACAAACTCACATCAATCCAACTAAATATATATATATATATTGAGTTGGATTGATGAGTTTAGACTTGGTTTCACGCTATTTGCGATCGTCAGAAAAACTGGCGATCACAAATAGCGTGAAACCCACAAACTCACATCAATCCAACTAAATACGTTAGCTCTATCACTGATATTGATCGCTTTCCCGTAAGTACCGCGTATATATAATATATAAATAATATATGTAAAAAACATATATATATATATATATATATATATATATATATATATATATATATATATATACAATGGGTCTTATTAATCAATTTTTCTTATTTTGAAGAAAAAACTAAGTTTATTTCATTTTGGTACCACTTTTATTATTCTATCTGGCATCAAGCATATTTTTAGCGAATTGTAGACCTTATTAATCAGTCTCTCTGATTTTGAAGAAAGATCTAAGTTTATTTCATTTTGATACCAGTTTTATTTGATCTGATCTCAAACATATTTGATTGAATTACAAACCTATTAACAGTTACCACTCTTATGTGAACGTATGTCTTTTGTTTTGCTATCTATGCAATTGATTCCTTTTAATCTTCTGAATAATGCAACCTTGTGTCCGCAACGCTTTGGATTATCACACTCAGCGAGAACAAATTCGTTCACGCCTTCTGCTTAATACATATTGATTTTTCTACCTATTAGAATTTCTTTTTTCTTTCTTTCTATCAATCTCTTCTTGTTTTTTTATTGTTTCTTGCGCACGTCGTCGCTGTCCTGCATAAATATAAACAGATGTCCG